TTCATCTGAGTGAAGAGATCAGAAGCTGAATTGTAAGGGGATAAGAAGCAAGTGAAATGAGAGGATGTGGAGGCAATGAGTGTGGATAGATATATATTTTTCTAGAAATTCAGTTATGAAGGGGAGGAGAAGGACAGGATGATAGCTTGAAGGCAAGATAAGGTCAAATGAAGGTTGAGAGTGCAAAGAATAAGCTGGTCACCCCCTGACAGAGACAATGGACTCAGTCTGCAAACTGAAACATAAATATTTTTGGACATGGCCAATGCAGAAATTTGTTTTGCTTGACTATGCATATTTTATAAGGGTTTTTGTTTTTCATTCTTTGGAGGTGAGAGGGATAGAAAATAGATTTTTGTTCATTGAAAAGAGTAAAAATTAATTTAAAGAATTTAGAATCAGTGTTGACAAATGTTTATTAAGCATTTATTATGTGCCAAGCACTGTGCTAAGTTCTGGGCATACAAATATGAGAAAAGAAAGCCACTCCTTACCCTCAAGGAGCATATAATCCAATGGGAGAAGAGCATATGAAAAGAAGCTGAAAGGGGGGAGTGGTTAAAGGTATTTGATGTGGAAATGTGCAAAAGTGAGAGAAGTCCCAGAGGAGGGCAGCCAGGTGAGAAATAAGGAGGCATCTGAGTCAATTTCCCTCCCTAAAAGGAAATTTTGGAGTTCATAGCTCCACCCTCTGATCAGAGGGACAGAGGGTAGTGATGAGGTGGTTACCAAAGCTGACCGGATAATGCAGGATGATGAGGTTTTCCTAATAATGCTCTTGCTGGGCCATGGTGGAAAAGTCAGTGAGAGAAGCCTCAGAGCAGCCAGGTAAGAAATAAGGAATAGATGGAGGAGAAATGAGGCAGGGAGATGAATTACAGGGCTATTTTAATAGTCCTGGCAAGGCGTGGTAAGGTCTCAACTAAGGTTGTGGCTAGAGGGGTGGAAAGGAGACAAATAGGAGAGTAGAAATGACAAATGTTGGCAACAGTTTGGATATGAGAGGTGAGTGGGAGTGAAGAGTCAAAGGTGACATTGAAGTAGCAAGTCTGAGTGATGGAATAGTGGCATTTTTGTCACTAACTAGAAAGTTGGAAAGCGGGAAGGGTTTGAGAGGAAAATTGAATTTTGTTTGGGATATGCTGAGTTTGAGATGCCCATGGGACTTCATTGCTGGCTATGCCTCAAAAAGCAGGTAGTGATGGGGGACTGGAACTGAAGAGAGAAATTAGGGCTGGATACATATTAAACCCAAGGGAAATGGTGAGATCCCCAAGTGAGATAATATAGACTGGGTCAGTGGATCAATGTTAATCTGGAGAGAGTTCTAGAGTATACTAAGGCTCTGTCTTTGGTCTTATGCTATTCAGTATTTTTTTTAAATTAGTTACTCCAAAGAAGATATAAGTAGCATATTCATCAAAATGAACACAGTCAGAACTCAGAGAAGACCTTGACAAATTAGAACAATAGGTTCAATCTAAGAAAATGAAGTTTAAGAATCAGAAAAGGACCTGTGAGTTTTTTGATGGAGGAATCACTTTCTACCAGTGTAGGTTGTCACCTTCTCTGCAACTTGTTTTAGAGTGTTGCCTTACAGCACTGAGAAGTTAAGCGACTTACCTAAGGTCACACAGTCAGTAAGTATCAGAGGCAGAATTTAAGCCAAGATGTCCCTAGCTCCAAGGCCAACTCTCTAACCATAACATAATATGAAGTTTAATAGTTATAAATTCAAAGTCCTATATTTAGGTTCAAAAAAATCAACTTGACTTTTTAGGATGAGGAAGAAGTAGCTAGAAAGCAGATCATGAGAAAAAATACTGCAGGTCTTGGACTACATGTTCAAAATGAGTCAACAGAATGAAATGGCAACCCCCAAAACTAGTGCTATCTTAGGCTGCATTTCTGCAGCTCTGGGCGTGTTAGGAAGGACACTGATAAACTGGAAGGGTCCAGAGGCGGGACAAGAAGGTGCTGAAGGAATCGAAATATCAGACCTTCTGAGATTAAGTAGAAGGAACCAAACATATTTATCCTGAAGAACAGATGACAGGAGGGAGAAATGGCATTCCAAAGCGCCAATAGTTCTGTGGTTGTAGTAGGCAGAAGTTCAGGCAGTTGACCACCTGGGAATTGAGAGAAGGGAAAGCAGAATGGCTGTCAAGTGCCGACATTTCAGTCGAATATTTGTTTATTCTCTTGTTCAGCTTTCAGTGGCTCCAACTGGGCTTCGAAGCTGATTTCTCACTATGGAGGTTCCCTAGGGTGGGGGTGGGGGGGAGAAGGGAAGGTCACATCCTTGTTCTTGAGGTTCTTCCTGGACCGTGACCCCTCCCAAATCCGGGAAGACTATGGACATACAAGGAAAACAGAACAAGGACAAAAAATAAAAGGCAGGGGCAAGGGGGAGTGTAAACTAAAGAAAGTACCAGACCAAGTAGTAGAAATAATAACTCACATTTATGCAGCACCATAAGTACTTTGCTTATTGTAGCCTCATAAAAGTCCTCGGTAATGGCTGTAATACAAAAATTAGCACTCCCATTTTATAGATGAAGAAACGGAGGCTTGAAGAACTGCAGTGATTTGCCTAACATCATACAGAGAACTGCTAGAATTCATGCCAAAGTATATAGACATGAAGTTTTCTCCCTCTCTATAAAATGAAGACAGTAGACTGTATGGATGATCTTTAAACCCTTCAGGGTCTGATATTCTCCGTTCTAAAGATTCCTTGAAGGTCTATTTAATTCTATGTTCTACATTCTAGCATCCGTGCCATTTCTGGCATTCTTTATCTTCAGAGTCCATTCCAGCTCTAACATTCGATGTCCTCAGGCCTCTTCTAGTTCCAACATCATGTTTTCTAAGATCCCTTTTAGCACTTATATTTTTGTTTTTCTATAGTTTAATAGGTCAATGATTTTTCATGTGCTAATTTTTATTTTCAGAGGCTAAATTGGTTTCTTTTTCTTTAGGCTAAAGTATCTCTGATGTCTTTGATTTGGCTATTTCTTCTAATACTGGACATCACAAGCATCCATGAAAGGATATACTGGTAAATATTTTAACAACTGACTCTTCATGGAAAAATAAATAAGCATAATACACTTTTAAGCTTAATCTGAATTAACATTTTCTCCATCACCTTATTAAGTCTACAGAGTCAACAAAAAAGTAAATCAAGTTCTGATTTGTAGCATTTGCTGATTTCTGAGGCATAAATGCTCACACTGAAAATTTAATAATTGACTATCTGGAGCTGGCTTGAGCTGGCCCTGGCACACTCCCGCATCCATGCCTGCTCGTCCTGTGTGATGCTGTAGATTTGCCCAATATGGTCCTTTCGATGTGTAGGGGTCCCTCTTTATGCTCCCTACGCCTTGTGATGATACCAGTGGAACATGTGACCTGTCAGTTGTTCCGGACTTTTGTCATATGACCGGTCCATCTTCTTTGATCATACATTTCTTTGATAACAAGATTCACTTGGATGACTCCTCATTTGTAATGTGCTGAAGCCTGCTCATTTGTACCCACCATGTATTTCTCCCTTGTCTTCTGGGTGATTGCCACCTCCAGTTCTTTGGAGAGCACAGCATTCCATGATTTGCAACTATAGAAACCATTAGAAGAATATGTGGTCTAAAAAAAGGGGAGGGGTTTCTTCAGGGAGAGCTCAAGGTCAGAATTTCTTTTAAGAGTTTCACAAATTGAGAAGATTTTTTTTTTCCCTCAAACTTTTTTTTTTTGCTTTTGTGGAAGTGAATATTACAAGTACAACTCACCAGATTTTCCAGAAACCCTAGTTTCTATTTCAAGCCTCATAAGAAATGTTACCTTAAAGGAAGAAATAGTTTACCACTGTACAGGAACCTACCTGCTTACTAAGGGAGGAGACAAGAGGAGTGAGCCTAGTCACATGCTTGGGCAATCAGAGATTTAGGGCAGGAAGAAATATCTGAGATCAGATTAGAATCTGCCCCCTCACTTAACAGATGAAGAAACTGGGGCCAAGATATGTGTAGCCACTTGCTTTGGGTTGTGTGGTTTGTAAGTAATAGGGCCAGGATCTCAGCCCTTGGTCTGAAGGCCAAATCCAGTATGCTTTGCAAATTGCCACACTTCCTGTCACAGTAACTTTAATCACTTTCTAAGAAAAAAAGGCTTTCTGCATTGCCAGGGATCTCTCTGCAGAATGTCTATGGAGATTTAGGCACAAGAGGGCAGTGGTTTGGTGTAGAGAAGGCTAAAATTCTAGGGGCTGCACTGGCACAAATGTGTAGTATAAACTAGGACAAGTTGCTTTCGGCTTCTGGGCCTCAGTTTCCTTATCTGTAAAGTGAGCAACTGGATGAGCTGGTCCCTGAGGTCACAGCTGGAAGGGCTTTAGGATATAAACTAGATCATGTCATGGCAGGGCTAACAGAGACAGGACTCTAATCCAAGGCTGCAGATCTCAGTTCCTTCCTCTGTAAAATGAGAAGGTTGGACTAGATCAGGGGTTGTTAAACTTTGATAGTCTGGTGAAGCCTGTGAACCCATTCTCAGAAATATTTTTTTTTAAAAATAATTGAAAGAAATGCTAACTTTCAGTTAGAGGCTAAGTGTGGTGGTGCAGGTCTGTAATTCCCACTATTAGGGGAGGGGAAAGCTGTTGAATCTCTTGAGGTCTGGAGTTCCGAGCTGCAGCAGGGCTAAAGCTGATTAGGTGCCCACCCTGAGTCCAGCACAAATAGGATGACGCACAAGGTGCAGGAGATCACCAGGCTGTCTGTTGTTGTTCAATTGTTTCAGCCATGTCTGACTGTGACCCCATTAGAGGCTTTCTTGGCAAAGATACTGGACTGGTTTGCCATTTTCTTCTCCAGCTCATTTTATAGATGAAGAACTGAGGCAAACAGGGTTAAGTGACTTGCCCAGGGTCACACAGCTAGTAAGTATTTGAGGCTAGATTTGAACTCAGGAAGATGAGTCTTCCTGACTCCAGGTTCAGCATTCTATCCACTCCACCATCTTGCTGCCCTAAGGCTGTCTAAGGAGCGTTAAACTAGCCCAGGTTGGAAATGGAGCAGATCAAAGCTTCTCTGCTAATTAGCAGAGGGATGGTCCCATGAGGGACCACTGCACTTTCAGCCTGGGCAAGATAAGGAGACCTGGAAAAAAAAATTAGAGGTTAATGAAAATAAAGATGTCATTTTTTCCCCATCTAAGTTCATGGACCCCCTGAAATTCATCCACTGACCTCTAGGAATCCGTGAGCTCCAAGTTAAAAACCCCTGGACTAGATGATCCTTGAAGCCCCTTCTAGCTTAGGACACATAGAACGTCAGACCTGGAGGGGACCTTAGAACATGAAACATAGAATATCAGAGCTGGAAACTAGAGACCGTTATCCAAACTTTTCACTGTACAGAAGAACAAAATAGAATGAAGTCATTTTCAAGTACTGAGAATAATGCTTCATGATCCTGAGGTTGCCTTCGTGATGTTGAGACTACTTACCAGCATCACTGTGAACAGCCCCTTCATTGGCATGAGGATTGGGGCAGGGGTTATTTGTAGCCATTGCGAGCTCACTAAGTTTCCCCAGGATCCTCTCTGACCACTGGAGCAGCCTTGGCTCTGAGGGAAGGCTTTTCACCTCATTATCCTCTACCACTCCCATTTTGGCCAGTGAGTGAATGCAGCCACTCCAATGGCCCTTTCAAACTTTTAACCTCAAATGTTCCTGCGTCTTCTTAGTTAAAAGACTAAAGTCATGACTCTCTGGATCTCACTCCCCTGCTTTTGTAAAATGTTGGCCTAAAATAGATAATATCTAAGGTCCCCATCAAGTCTGGTACTCTGCCATCTGGGTTCCAGTTCAATTGTAACCTTCTAGGTCAGGGGTGGGGAACCTGTGGCCTCGAGGCCTGTGCTAGGTTCTAAGGTCCCAGTGATGCATGTTTCTTTTGGCAACAATGATCTATTGCCATAGCCTTATGGACCCCACTTGCTAGCCCGAGCTCCACCTCACAGAAACGGTAATTTTCAAAATCACAGAATCATACATGTAGAGCTTTAATGGAGCCAAATCCTCCTATTTTACACAGGAGGAAACTGAGGTGCAGAGAGGTTATGTGACTTGCCCCGGTGTCTGAAGCAGGACTTTAACACAGAACTTCCTGACTTCAAATCTGTTGCTCTACCCATTACATCACACTACCTCTAAGATAAATAACTGGGGCCCAGAAAGGTCACTTGATGTTTCTGAGATCCCATATCTTCTTTGTGATAGAATCAGAGCTAGACTCCAGGTCTCTAACACAGGAAGGTTTGGAATAAACATTGCGGGAATAAACAAGGGACAATGCAAGAAAATGAGAAGCACTGAGGAATCTGCATTATGACTGTTCTGTGAAATCCTACTAGCTCAGGGATGAGGTAAAACAGACACGCTGATACACTGTTGGTGGAGCTGTGAACCAGTCCCCCCATTCTGGAAAGCAGTTTGGAACTATGCCCCAAAAGCTATTAAACTGACCCAGAAATATTCCTACTAGAGTTATATCCCTAAGAAATCCAAGAAAAAGGAAAAAGACTTATATGTACACACTTATTTGTGGCAACATTTTTTTTGTGTGGTGTCAAAGAATTGGAAATTGAGGGGAATGGGAAAATGGATGGCCAAATTATGGTATACAAATATGATGGGCTGATATTGTGCCACAATAAATGATAAAGGGGATGGTTTCATAAAAACCTAGGAAGACACGTAGGAATTGATAGAAAGTGAAGTTAGTAGAACCAGGAGAATAATCTATAATATTGTAAAGATAATCAATTGTGAAAGACCTAAAAAGGTCTTTCTGATCGACATAATGACCAGCCAGTTTTAAAGGACTCATAATGAAATATGCTAACCACTCCCAGATAGAGAACTGATGGGAGTACACATGGAAGGGTATTTTTTTCTCTCTTTTTCTTGCTCTTTTTTTTGAACATGGCTAATGCAAAATTTTTTTGTACAAATATTTTTTTTTAAAAGGAAATATATCTTCCTAGATAAGCAGAAATGACTTATGGATGTGAAATACTGTCTACACTGTCAGACATGGTTGTTGTATTTGTTGTATTTGTCGGCTTTACTTAAATGCTTTTGTTGTTACAAGGAAGGGTTCAACAGAGGTAGGGTTTTGGGGGAAATGATTACAGTATAAAAGCAAAAGGCAACAATAAAACTTTTTTTTTCTTTTTTTTAATGGAAAAAAAGAATTACATCCAGTTATGGAATAGGAGTGATAAAGGTTCCTGATTTATCTGAAGGTTCATTGTGGTAAAGTAACCAAAAAGACTCTATGTGCTGGACTTCCAAACACCCAACTATAGAATTCCCTTTCTGGGGCTCACTTTCCTTTTCTGTAAAATAATATCTGCCTTACCTCATTTGTAGTGCTATTGTAAGAATCCATGGAGATGTAAAATTCTTTAGAACCACAAAGCTCTGTATAGATGGGGTCTGGCAAAATTCATTAAGCCCTTACTATGTACAAGAAAACTGGCTCTGTCACTAACTGTGTGTCACTTCTCCTTTTGGGGCCTCAGTTTCCCCATCTGTAAAATTATAGAAGTTAGACTAGATGACCGCTGAGATACCTTCTGGCTCCAAGATCCTATTATCATTGTCATTGAAAATGATGATCCCAGAAAGATGAGTTAGTCGTCCCTGGCCACCAGAGGGCATCTGAGTTGCACACTAGGAGGGCTCTCTTCTGGCTTATTTCTCTTGTTTTTTTTCCCCCCTAAACTTCAAATTCATTACTCATTTACTTATTTTAAACATTTATTTTTTTTCAAATTTTGAGTTTCAAATTTTCTCCTCCCTCCCAATTCCTCCACCACACATTCAGAAGGCAAGCAATATAATATCAATTATACATGTGAAATCATGCAAAACATATTTCCATTAGACATGTTTCCAAAAAACAGAAAAATAAAGAAAGTGATAAAATTATGCTTCAATTTTTGCTCAGAATTCATCAGTTTTCTTTCTGTACAGGTGGATAACTTTTTTTTTTTTCACAATGAGTCCTTTGGAATTGTCTTGGATCATTATGTCGATCAGAGTAGTCCTGGCTCATTTCTAAAGACTATTTCTGGTGATGTCTTTTTTCTCTCCCCTCCCCTCCCCTCCCCTCCCCTCTCCTCCCCTCTTCTACCCTCCCCTGACCTCCCCTCCTCCCTCCCCTCCCCTCTTCTCTTCCCTTCTCTTCTCTTCCCTTCTCCTCTTTCACTTTTTTTTGCTAATGAAATTATAACTATATTTTGCTGAGTCATGTTAGAGAAGACACTAAAATGAATTACCCTAGGGAAGGTGATTCAGAGACAGCATGAGATAGTGACAGGCACACCAGTTTGAGTCAGGACACTTACCATTTCCAGTAACTTGATGTTGAACTCTGGGCTTTTCGCTTCCTCTTTGGGGGCATCATTTTCTTCCTCTTTCAAATGAGAAGACTGCACCAGAAGGCCTCTAAGGTCCCTTCTAGTTTTTACTTTCTTTGACTCCATGAACTGTGGGATTCTTGGCATCATGGAAATAGTCAAAAGTCTTAAACTTGACCTGAGAGACTCATACCTTTCCTCTCTGGGGCTGCTTCCTATAAACTATCTACATTTCCTCATCATAGAATGTTGTAAAGACTAAGTCATATAGTTAAAGAGGTCACAAGTTGGAGTCTTGCCTCTAGCTCACTGACTATGTGACTCTGGGTAAGTAACTTAAATGAAACCATAGCTCCTCATCTGAAAAATGAAAATAGTGATATATAAACTACCTGTCTTACAAAGTTGTTGTAAAGAAACAACTTTGTAAACCTCAAGTGCTCTAGAAAAAGAATCTATTCTATGTCACAGTTTATTCTTTTCTCATGGTTGTTCTTTTTATTATCCAGTTACTTTGACCATTTTTCTGTAGTGCAAAAACATTATAATACAATAAAATATCCTCCCCCAAAGCAAAACAGATTATTCTCCAGTAATAACTCAGATCTGTATAACAATTATGGTTCTTTTTTTTTTCCTTTTTTTTTTTGGTGAGGTAATTGGGGTTAAATGACTTGCCCAGGGTCACACATCTAGTAAGTGTCAAGTGTCTAAGGCTAGATTTAAACTCAGGTCCTCCTGACTCCAGACCCAGCACTCTATCCACTGTGCCACTTAGGTGCCCCCGACATTTATGTTTCTAAAGAAATTTTCTCACAAAAAAAGGTAGGTAGGTAGCACAGGTATTATTATTATTCCCATTTTACAGATGAGATAAATGGAGCTCTGAGAGGTTACCTGACTCCGGTCATATAGGTGGCAAGTATCCTATGCAGATTTTGAACCCATATGTCTTTATGCCTAAACTACTATACTCTTTAAAGCCAGTCATAGTTTTTTTTTAAACTTTTTTAATGAGTCATTCAGGGTTAAGTGACTTGCCCAGGGTCACACAGCTAATAAGCATCAAGTGTCTGAGGTTGGATTTGAACTCAAGTCCTCCTGACTCCAACGCCAGAGCTCCATCCACTGCGCCACCTAGCTGCCCCCATAGTTTATTACTAACACAAGTCTGTTCTGGGTTCCATCTCCCTTCAACTGGCTCTGGCCCATCTCAACTCAGGTCAGTGAGGTCGCCCTATCCACTACTTGTGTAATCTCTCCCATCTAATAAATCTAGTCTACTGTGGGCAATATGCTCTTACTCTACCTTGTACCAAAATCTATTAACCCTACTTATCCTCCAGTCCCCCACCAGCTCCTCCGTTTGCAGGCAATTAATCATAAAAGTAAGGGATCAATGGGTTAAAGAAAGAATCTTTGCTATTGCTATCTTTTTCCCGGGGCTTCAAGATGTTGCATCCAGAAGCAATAACATCTGGGCTGATACTAGACTGTGAACTCTTCTCCAAAAGTGGTGAAATATGGAAGGGATTTTGACTAGTGAAAAGCTTCCCTTGAATATAAAGGCAACTTCACATTGCCATTACATGGCTCCCAGAAATTATTTGTTTGCTCTTGTCAGGAATCTTGTAAGGAAGAGTTGGATCAATTGACCTCTGGGGCCCCATCTAATTCTGAGAATCCATACTTGTAAGAGTCAATGATCTTAAGTTTCTATGACTGAAAAGCCAACGTTTCTGTAATTCTATGGGTCTGTGATTCTATGTTTCTAACTCTTGTGTGGTTCTACAGTTCGATGCGCTTCTAATTCCAAGTTCCTACAGTTGCTGTTGGGCCCTTGAAATAATATGTCACAGAATATTAGAACAGAGAGTGCCATAGCTGGAAGGAACCTTCGAGAACAGCTAGTCCCATCCTTTTTTTTTTTTTTTTACAGTTAGGGGAAGTGGAGAGAGCAGAAGTGACTGACCCAAGGTTACACAGTGAATTAGTGGCAGATTAGGGGCTAGAACTCAGGCCTTCTGACTCATGGCCTGCTCTTCTGTTCTTTGATTCCCCTGGCTTCAGTCCAGGACTCTGTTATTTCAGACTCAGCCTCACTCAACACAGCATAGATTCAGACTGAGCAGATCAAAGCGAACCCTAATGGGAAAAGGATGGGCCAGCATAAGATGACTTCTAAGCCAAGGGGCTATTTCCCTGGCTGTCCCACCTACCCTGACACACATTTCCTCCTGAAAAAAAAATGGAAATTCATCTCCTGGTGTAAACAACTACACACTCCCTGACCTTTCACCTTTAGTAGGGTTACATTTCCAACCATTACCGACAATGATGGTGTCCTTTTTTGTGGGTGTTGGTTGCCAAGGCCCACCTACCTCCCTAACAAAGAGAAGGTATCTCCTTCCCAAGGAATATGTTTCCAATGAATAAGGAAAACAAACAGAAAAAAAAAACCAAACCTCAGTAAACAGTAAGGAGCATTCATTCACTCACTGGAGGAATCAATGGTTAGCAACATTCATTGAGCACTGGGTATTGATTTTAGAAATGTCAGTTTTGAATAGCATGAACTTACAGGATTTAGCACTAGTCCAGCCTTTTCATTTTATAGAAGAGAAACTGAGGCACAAAGAATTGAGGCAAAGAGCCCACAGTCCCACAGTTAGTAAGTATCAGAGCCAGGATTTGAAGTGAGGGCTCCTGGTTCTGAATCCAGTACCCTTTCCATGACCTTGTAGGCTACCCCCATGTAGGCTGAGCAACAGAAGCAGTCAGGCCAACTCATGATACTCTAAGAAGTTCTCCAGGGCTTGCTTTTGGGGTTTCATATATACACATAAATACCTGTGTTATGGCATGTATGCACAATGTCACGATGGATATTTGTGTGTGTATGTGTGTGCCCATGATCCTTCATTTATGGATTGTAGGCATGTGTATCTATTAGCAGCTAAATGGCTCACTGGTTAGAGTCAGAAGACCTGAGTTTGAACCTTGACTCAAACATTTACTAACCACACCTGCCTGTGCGGCCCTGGGCAAGTCACTTAACCTTCCTTCCTTAGGCTGTTTCCTCATCTGTAAAATGGGAATAATAATTATAGCTACTTCACAGGGCTGTTAGTATCAAAAAGGATAACATGTAAAGTGCTTTACAAACCTAAATTCCCCACATCAATGCTAGCTGTTGTCTCTATATCTAATCCTGCATGTACATGTGGTGCCTATGTTATAGTCTACACCCCGGGTTGCCTCTGTGTATGTCTCTGATACAGTCCATAAGTATGTGAATCTATGTGTGGGTTCATGGAATACAATTCATGTTTAAGTAACCGTATGCCTCTATATGATAGATGTATATCTGTGTACATGAAAACAACTATCATGCTCCTTTGAAAAACTCTTTCCACGGCTCGTATTGGTTTGGTCAGCCCCCGCCGGACACACTGTACACTGACCCTGACACGCTGATGCCATTTTGGTCATCTTGGAGCACAAAGGACAACTAACGACAGGACTGTGTTGGCCCCAGCTTAAACCAGCTCACAAGAGCCAATTATTAAATTTTCTGTGGGAGCACTAAACCTCAGGAATCTGCAAAGGCTACAGATCAGGGTTTTATGTATTGTTTTATTGGTTGCCTAGACTTAAGAAAGTGATGGAGAAAATGGTAATAATGCAAATTAAAATTAAAAGTGTGTTGGGTATACTGTATGTATGTATATGTATATATGTGTGTGTGTATGTCTTTCCAGTGTTGAAGTGTATACCTATATGCTTATGTTACAGCTCTATGTATGTGTTTAAATGTGCCTGTTATAAGCGTATACATACAGATATTCTTCTGTATCTGTCTGCATTAATATCCAAGTGAATGCATGCCTGCATATTCTGGCATGAAGATTCATAAGAACCATATACTTATGTTTGTATATATACATGTATGTATGAACACATGTGTATATATACATGTTAAAGTCTATACGTGTGTGCTTCTACCTAGAGTTTAGTCCATGTGCATACATGTGCACCTATCTCTATAAGTCTACATGTGGAAGTGTGTGGGCTTACATTATCATCTCTGTGCAGAAAATGGCCCACTTTGCTGATAGGAATGGTTACCAGCAATGTGTCAACAGAACCAGTCAAAAGCAATGAAACATATGGCCATTCAAACCTTTTGAGGTTGTTTGCCTCTGATTTCATATTAAGAGAGAAAGATAGTGTAGTGTGTTGGATAATAAGCTGGCCTCGGAGTCAGGAAGACCTGGGTTCAGGTCCTGTCTCTGACACTAGGACTCTGAGCTAATTGTGTAATGTCTTGTTCTACTACCACCACCACCACCACCACCTACCACACCCACAACTCCCTAAGACAAGGGTGGGGAACCTGCGGCCTTGAAGACACATGTGGCCTGCTAGGTCCTTGAGTGTGGCCTTTTGACTGAGTCCAAGTTTTACAGAACAAATCTTTTTATTAAGGGGATTTGTTCTGTGAAGTTTGGATTCAGTCAAAGGGCCACACTCGAGGACCTAGAGGGCCGCACGTGGCCTCGAGGCTGCAAGGTTCCCCACCGGGATGTAAGACTATAAATTGAAGAAAAGGTGTTGATCTTCCTTTGCAGATGAAATTTTCTCACTAGGTGTTCCCTATACCAACAAAATCATTCTTCTATTCAACAGTAAATAACAAAATAAAATAAAAATAGGCACAAACTGCCTGCTGAGAGAATGAATTCGGTTCTACTCTATTAGTGGAAAGAACATAGGAAGGTCAGAGAACCTGGATTCAAATCCCAGGCCTCCTGCCTACTACCTGTGTGACTATAGGCATCAATTAACCTTTCTCGACCCTAGTATCCTCCTTGGTAAAATGAGGAGGCCAGATCAGATGATCTTGAAGATCCCTTCTCTCTCTAAGTCCTATGATCCTTTCTCATGATTCAAACCACTGATTCAGAGCAGGCTCTCTCATGACGACTTGCTAATAGATCCCTTGTTAACTCATTCATTAACTCGTTAATTCATTCCCAGAACTCCAGAATCTCAGAGAAGCAATAGATCTGAGAGGGTGACAAGTCCTACCTTCAAAGGAATTACCAC